GTTCAGTAATGACAAGATTCAGCCAGGAGAGAAGAACAAGAAGAAAAGAGTGGATGAAAGAGGAAAGGAATGAGGCAGAAGTGACCGATTAGGTCCATGTGTGGAACAAAAAGAGGTGGAGGAACAGGACAGAGATTTAGGTCGTGGGTTTGCCGGTGGAGGTCTGGTGCAGTGTTTGGCTGCTGGAGGCTGTCGGATGGAAGGATGGAGTCAAAAAGGATCCAACTGTCAGATCCTCGGTGACGGAGCCAGAAGAATTTTGTGTTTAACTGAAGTGACCTCCACAAATCACTGCAGGGCTCTGTTTACTGTGTTTCATCGTGCTTCAGTATGAGCTGCACATGGATGGCGGGTGATGCCCCAGAGTTCATGTTGGAGATGAAACTGCAGGAAGCTGGATGCAGGGCGAGTTTACTGGCTGTGAAGGATCACGTGACACTGGGCATTTGGCAGATCTGAAACCTGTTGGATTGTTCTAAACAAACCCCCTGAGGAGTTTTGTGAGAATGCCCACAAGACCTGGCTGTACCGAGGATCGCCGGAGTCACAGAGGGGCAGGACACACACACAGTGTCTCAGGCATTTGTTAAGAACGGAGCTGGAGCCAGTCGGACAAACCAGAGTTTAAGTGATACGAATTACGTCGATTGTAAAATACAGAGATGCTCCTAAATTCCACTTTTCAGATGATAACGTGTGACGCGAGTGAAGCATGGGAGGGTTGGCGCGCTGACAATTTAAGGGTCGATTTGGACTGTGGACTTGTTTGATTGACAAACTGCAACATCTCAGAAAACACATTTGTTAAGCGGAGACATCACTCTACAGGTACCGATCAGTTTACTGGAACTGTTGAACTTTTTAAAGCAGTGGTAGGAGTCGTTGTGACTAATGAAGAAGGTCCTGACAGTGACCGTAAGCACCCAGATGTCAGTTTACAGTCACTTCCTCTGGACGCTCGTTGACAGATGTTTGAGTAGCTCTGTGAAGGTCAGTGTCGAGTGTACATAGGAATGTCACCTAAATATCATTTTACAAAGGAAAAGGGAGAGTTGGCTTTTTGTTGGAGGAGCCACAAATAGTTTTATTGACATATCAAATGCAACCTGGTTAAACAAATTACCTGAGGAGTTTGGGGAGAACCTACTGGTTGAATGACAGGCTACAGTTACGCTAAGGAAATGTTTTACAGTTTGTCACATTATGTAAAGAAGCTCTGAGGAACGGATTTATCAGCTTCATGGAAAACCAAATGTCCTGAGGGCTGGTGAGAATGCTTCAGGAAACCAGAAACATCTGGATGAACAAACTGTTTCCTGGTATGTAAACACTTGGTTCATACAGCTGAAGATGGTAAAGGTTATTTGGACTAAAGGGAGTTTGGATCACTGTCAACATCTCTCCACAGACTCTCCAGCAGGTACTGATGGATTCTGACTGGATACCTTTGGATGCTTGTTGCTACACACATTTTTTTTTAATATTTTGGCTCATCTCATCCACAGCTCGTTGAAAACCCCAGTGAAGCTGCCTGACGCTGTAGTTTCTGGATGACAAGCCATCTCGGACTCCTTTTGTCCTGAAATCCTCCATTTTCTGAACCACCTCTGGCTCCACATGCTGATTTATTTGCTGCCATGTTTCTCCATCAAACACAGATTTCAGCGCTGCTCCCTGTCACCACTCGGCCTTGATGGTATTCATCAGATTTCCCTGCTTTATGGTTGTGATTATTCCTCTTGTCGGACTAAATCTGGTTCTTTACGATGCTGAATGAGCATGAGAAAAAGTCTGTACCAGGTTCCTCTTCAAGGCAAAGACCTCTGAGCACATAATGGACTGGAGGGAACTGTGAGTATCTGCGTTGTCTGCACAGATTCATATGTCATTTTATTGGTTTTTCTTCCCCACAGTTACATTTCACTGGTGTCAGGGGTTCATATAAATCTAAGGGCGCTGATCAGTGGAAGGATGAAAGGCAGTGGAAGAAATGTGCTTGGTGGTGAAAGCAGCACAGACAACCAGGTGTAGGCCAGACTGTCTCATAAAACAACTTAACTCACGGAGCAAAGGGAGTGTTAACTTTAATGTTAGCTTGTAAAATAACACGGCGGCCTCATCATAAATCCAGGTTGCATCTTCATACCCTTGCAAGTTCCTGGCCTGTTCACAAGTCTCTGAGGTCTCCTCCTACTGTCCGACTCAACAGTTTGTCCCACTGATGCTGTGACATTTATTACAGTCACATTATTCATGCGACTTCACTGTCTCACATGAAGCAGGACCTGAATCTGTAGCTTGACAAACGATGTGTGTCCCCCTCAGCATCTGTCTGTATCATTCACAGTGAAAGCTTTCAGCTCCACCAGAAGTGAATTTACTGCTGTTGATAGCTTTCAGCTCCACCAGAAGTGAATTTGCTGCTGTTGATTTACCTTCCGCTGTTACATCGGAGAAGGCTGGCTCTACTGTTCTCACGCCTCCTCTGCTTATACGTCACCAGACTAATGACCAGTCATGTAAATGGGGGTGTTACAATCATAAAGGTGCAGTGTGTGAGATTTAGTGACATCTCGTGATGAGGTTGCAGATTGCATCACGTTAAATTGCCCTCACAGTGATTACTGTAAATGTAGGACAAATTGTGCACTGGGAACACAAGTGCGACCAACTTGACCAAGCTAAAGCTAACAGCGGCTCACTGGCCCGCAGCACTGGCCATGTTCCAGCTAAAGCCATCAGTCAAAAACGTGCATTCAGGTTAACTTGTTAGGCTAAATTACCTGTCCAGCAGAAAACAGGTGACTTCAGCTTCACTGGGGGAAATCTAAATTACCTGTCCAGCAGAAAACGGGTGACTTCAGCTTCACTCTGGAAACATTTGTCCCTCATCCAGGATTTCCGTCTGAGAAAGGCCACACCAGCGTTTATCTTCGTCTTGTGCCGTCACCTGTCCCGTTTCTTAATGCCTTTTGCTTCTTTGACAACGGGGATTCACGCAGTCTTTCTTGTGTTAAAGTGCAACTAACTATGATGCTCCATTTCTTCAAACTATAATCTTAGTCTTGTTTCGAACATTATTTTTTCTCTGTCTTCCAAGCACCTACAAGTTCCAGCTGCTACTTCAAGGTGAAAACGCGACAGTCACGCTCTAGAGCCACTGTGTGGTTTATCACGATAGGCGAGCTGCTCCTATGTAGATATAAAAGGCTCATTCTAAGATAAAGAAAATGCAGCTATTCTTATTTTCTGGTGATTAACACATGGATAAAAACATAAGTATGCATACTGTAGCTTGTTTCTGATAGATCTTACACACTGCACCTTTAAATGGTGTTGCAGTTTCACTGTGTGGCAGAGCAGGTGGTGACCGGGTTTACTCTGGCTGTTTTTGCTTGTTGACAAACCCGCAGACTCGACTCGGCTACCGCTGATACCAGCTGAACTGCAGCCTGTGAAGAACTTGTTAATCTTCGATGTGCATTTTGATTTAAATGTCTTTATCTGTCGTAGTCATGATGCAACGTACTGTACATACGCTGGGGATTTTTGTTTAACTGTAAAAATAACACACCCAGTGTTACCACAGGTGTGTCCACATATTTTTGGCCAGATAATGTAGTTTAACAATGTAATGGTGAGAAAAAGACATGAGCTGAAATGAGGAGGCAGATTTTGTAGGAGCTCAGGTGCTGTCTGCTGTCAGCACCTTAGCAACACGCACGTTCACCTTGCAGCAGATATAATTGAGTTGCCACAGTGTGTGTTGCCACAGTGTGTTGGTGATGAAGGTTGCCCTGGCAGAAGTACACAACTAAACACTGAGCGTAGTCCCTCAGGCTGTGCTCTCCTGTCCTTCATAGAGGCTGTAATTACACCCTCTGCTCTCTGAGTGGAAGAGGAGGAGGATGGGGGGATGAAGAGGAGGAGGAGTGCACGGAGACTCCTTTTCAAATGTTGTCAGAGCTGAGTTTGAGCCTCATCGACCCCACATTGATCCAGTGCTGCTGCTCTTCTTCTTCTCCTCCTCCTTCTCAAGGCTTTAAACCCACTGATTGTGATGTTTGAAGAAATTCACCTTTTTGCAGCATGAACCGCTACATAGACGAGTGGTGTGTGCAGATATTCCTTTAAGACGGCATACAACCATGAGACAGTAGAAACCAGGTCACCACGTACTCACTGTGAGACGCTTCTCTCAGCTCAGAGCCTGGACTGAGGGACAATGTGTGGGCAGGCAGAGGACAAGACCAGAGCGCTTAGGAGGAAAATCGGCCTGAAACAGTGACAGTGAGGGGACACTTCTCCTCATCCTCAGGGGAAGTTACCGTATGTCCTTGTTTAAATTCATGTAGTATTTTCCCACACAGCTCTTGTTTCCATAAATCTTTTACTACACAGCTGAAACCTGGCTGGTGGAGCTCAGCACATGTTGAGTCCAACGTTTGGGGACAGTGCCAGGCGTCCACACACATTCATCTTTGTTCTGATCCCTGATGGTGCGAGGTGCAGATCTATCAAATCTCTGTGCAGTCACACGACATCAGCACATGGTGAAATTCAGGCAGGTTGCTCTTTGCAAAGTAGAATGAAAACCTCAGAATACAGTTTTCACACTAATTTAACAGAGATCATGAATAGCGTTGAAGATGGTGTGAGTATTTTATGACAAAGCAGGCCTTTTGTCTTGTAAACTGTGTCACCCCATGTCCCTTTCAGGACTTCTGCAGAAACCAGGCCTGTAAAACTTCATGCAACATCCTCGACACATTAGACACAGCGATTTGTGGTAAATACTGTGGGATAAACTGTGCAGAAGGACCCTGACAGAGCATCATGTGGAACAGGGCGTTTTGATGCCGATGTGCTGTTTGTTTTGAGAGGTGGCGTCAGTAGAAGATCGGCCTGAGGAAGTGATGTGGTCTCAGAGGCTTCCAGCAGGTTCAGAGACAGTCAACTCAACTGAAACGGAGTCTTTGTCTCATGTGTTTCCTCTTCAGGGCGGCTCAGAAACTCAGTCTGTCCCGCAGGAAGAAGCCCCAGCCCGAGCCCCCCTCCTCGCCCGGTGAGGCCCCAGAGCCCCTGCTATACAGCAGGGGCTTCAGCGGGGCCCTGCAACTCTGCCCGCCAGCCGTCCCACCATGCCTCCTCCGGGCCAGGTCAAAGGTCAAGGACACACCGGTGATGGGGAAGGTAAGCTGTCATGTTGTTACCCAGAATGCCCTGCAGGAGATCAGAGTCCAGCTGCTTGGCAAATGGCAGAGACACGGTTTCAACAGCATGAATACAATAAAAGTAAAGATAAAGGATAAAATAAACGGAGGAGATTCCTGTGAAACACTGAACCTCCTGATTCAAGTCACTGAAGTTTCTTCTTTAATTGGGTCAGCTTGTTTTTTTTTACAGCTAAAAGTTCAAATGAGAAAGTGCACATCCACTTTCTTCTGGCAGCTTATTGTTCCTGTCTCCTGAGGCCAGAGACGGTTGTGTCACAGTGGACGTGAAATGTAAATGAACCCGGCGTTGAACAGGGTGAAAATATGCGGTGGGATGTTTTCTGTCAGTTTTGATGCAGTGGAGCTGACAAGCATCACACACTTCTCCTGGTCAGACAGCAGAATGAGCCCTTCAGCGGGTCTGGATGATTTCCACTGCAGCCCAGACCCCTGAATACTGAGAGAGATCTGAAGGCTGCTCTGAGATCAGATCTGGGCAGAGGGATGCCACCCCCCCACCCCCACCCATTTTTATTGAAGCTTGTTGGTCGTAAAGTGTGAGGCAGTTTTTAGTTGCAGCAGAGGAAACAGCCCCCAGTGACGCCCTGGTGAACGGACTGATGGACTGAGCTGAGACGACCACGGCGGCTTCGCCACACTGAAGACGCACCACTGGTTTCTGACCAGTTTCACCAGTAGGAGGAGATAATACTGATCAATAACACTAGGAAGGCACATTTACGTTCAGTTTGTCATCAAGTTCACACGAGGAGCAGGTTCTAACTGTTTTAGGACCAGATTTACTTTGTTTTCATAAAATCTCTTTTCTTGTTCATCTTTACCTTTTCTCACTCGGTTCTTTCTGTCACCTTCTTTCCTTTTCCTTTGTCGTTCAGTCTCACTTCACTTTTCCTTGCTTCCTACCTCAGTTTCCTCAGCCATTTGATTTCCCCTTTGTTTCCTTTAATTCCTTATTCTTGCTTCCTTCCCACCCTTAGTAATTTCCTTTCAGTTGATCTGACCCAACAGTTTCTGTGTCACTGTTCACATCTTCTCATCAGCAAAGCTTAAAGCTGAACACTGTAGTCTCAGGCCACTCTTTAATCTCCATTAAAAGCAAGAGGAGATAGTGTAGCAGCCCACTGTGAACGCTGGTCGCCCTCTTTTCTCTCATTAACATTCAGACCTGCTCTTCATCACTGAACAAACAGCACTTAATGAAGACATACTGGGAGGTTAAATTAAAACCAGTCTCTTCACTGTGGACCCTGGAGCTGTGTCCGTGGGCGAGAGAGCTTCAGCTGGACTGAAGCGGCTCTCACTCTATCAGGACTAGCTGGTGAATACGCAGGCGGCTGGTGTCGGAAAAGTCTCAATCAAACACCGTCTTCGGTCTCGTGAAGGCGTTGCATATTGTAAGGTTGCAGTACATCAGCTGTCAGACTGGAGCTGGGCCGCTTCCTGTCTGCCTCTGCAGTGATGATTTGCTCTGCTGGCTCGCTACAGCACACACATATAAAACTGCTGCGTCTCAGATTGTTATTGGCTTTAAACTTGACCTCCTGACTGCCACAAGCGCCGACTCAGCAGCTCTGTGACAGACCAATAAAAACTCATCAGAGTCAGAAACAGCCACACAAACAACTGGCTGCTCTGCGCTCAGAGACACTGCAGCAGGACAGACGTAGCTGTCGGTCGCTGCTCCAACACTCGGTTTCACAGAAAACCACCTGCTGATGTGTGTGAAGCAGCAGAGCTCTCTCTCTCTCTCTCACACACACACACACACAGTTATCAAAGGGCAGAGGGTGAAACTCTGGACTTGTGTGAACAGTGAACAAAGCATTGTTCACTCCCACTCACAGTTAAGTTGAAAGGTTTTCTTTCAAATTAAAAATGGTTAAAGGTAGTTATAAGGAGACCCTGTGTTACTGGGTCCCAGTAATCCCAGGGGCCACAGGGTGGTCATGGTTGGCAAAACACCACAACATGACTACTATGAGATGAAAAGTGCACCACGACAGAGGACTGTGATGAACTTGCAAGTTTCACATGGTAAAAGCTGCTGGAGTTTCATGTGATCTCCTCATGAATCTCTTGATCAGCCATTTCCTCCTCACTGGGCTCTGTGGAGTGTATCTATTGGTTGTTATTGATAAGTCCAGTGCCTGATTGGAGCGTAGTCATTCTTCCTGTCTGATCTTGTCTTCCTGTCTATCTCCAGGTCAGAGTGATGGTCCGGATCTGTTCGGTCCACAACAGCGAGTCCTCTGAGTCCATGTCCTTCCTGAAGGTTGACGGCAGAAAGAATCAGCTCACTGTGTGTGAGACGTCGGCCGGTGGACACTGCGGCGCTGCCCAGAGAAGGTCCCCGGCCTCCCCACCGAAGACCTTTACCTTCGACACTATCTTCTCCCAGGATGCCTCACAGGTGAGACCGGACCCGTGTACACAAGCTGTGATTGGTATTATCAATAACAGGTTCATTCTTCAGGTTGATCAGTTTCACTTACTTTGCCAGTCAGAGATTAAAATGAACATACTGTATTCTGATAAAAAAAAGTAGAAACTCCAGGCATGTGCTACAGTGTGAGCTCTTCATCAGAGAGACGTCAGCTGTCCCCAGAGACAGACAGCGGGGAGGTGGACCAGTGTGAGTGATGGTATCTGTCAGAGATATCTGTGATAGGAGCAGACCTCCACAGACGGATTCATACAGCACAGCTTCAGAACAGAGGAACAGGCTCCTCGTGGTTCAGACTGTACCTGGTAGAGTTACACACAAGGTCCCTGAGATTGTGTTGTTTACCTGTGACACGAGGATTCTGACAGGTTCTAGTTGTTCTGCATCATGTTATTCTGTTGTCATATCCAGTTCTGTTCCTTCATGTCACACATGGCGTAACAGAACACAGCCCAACACAACTGTAATGTGATTGGATGGTTCTGAGTGGATCTCTGTCCTGACAGGCCGAGGTGTGTTCGGGGACGGTGGCTGAGGTCATCCAGTCAGTGGTGAATGGAGCGGACGGCTGCATCTTCTGCTTCGGGCATGCTAACCTGGGTAGCAGCACACACACAGCCACACACACTTGGCTTTAATGTTTTTTATAAGCCATAATTGATTATTGTTGACCCCGCCCCCCCCAGGTAAGACCTACACCATGATTGGCCGGGACAGCTCCACCCAGAGTTTGGGTGTGGCGCCGACCGCCATCTCCTGGCTCTTCAAAGTGATCGAGGAGCGTAAACAAAAGGCTGGAGCCCGTTCCTCTGTTAGGGTGTCGGCCGTGGAGATCTCCGGCCAGGAGGAGACGCTCACCGACCTCCTGGCTGAGCTCGCCACCTCCTCTGGGGGCCAGCAGGAGATCTCGGGCCCTGCCGTGTCTCTGAGAGAAGACCCCGTCTGTGGATCCCAGGTGGGCTGAGGGAAAACACCATCTCACCTGCAGAGTGACTAGATTTTTAAAGCAAATCCCTGTTTCCTGTATGTGCATGTGGAAATGGACCCGGTCCATGACCCGGGTCCTTCCTTCCTTGACACAGTGCTAAGCCATTCAGAGTAATAACATAACAACCTCAGCAGGTCATAATGCAACACAAAGAGCAGGAAAGCATCCCGCCCTGATGTCACGTATTACTACTGTGTCCTAGTGCGTTGTATGTACACGTACCATAACACTGTGCATTAGCAGGTGACTGATGTGATACGGCTCTGATTCTTCAGAATGATCCCTTAGTGAATTCATCATGAAGTCACCTTTGTTCATGGAGCTATTATTTAATGTGACTCTGACCTGAGGAGCACTTTCGTTTTTGCTTCTGAGATTCACCTAAAACAAATGTGACCTCTAAAATGTGGACAGGGAGCTAATTTCTCGACTTAAAACCAGAGTGTACACATACAGTACACTCCATGGTCAGAGCTGAGTGTTTAGAACGTTATAGAACCTGGATGGTGACGTGGTGAGGACGTGTGCTGAGAACTGGGACATCTGAGTATTCTCTAGTGTTTCACCAGGTTCCTCTCCCTCAGACGTCCTTATCTCCTCTCCTCTCTGACCCCTCCTCACCCCAGGGACTTCAGCTCTGTCCAATTAGTCCTGACCTCCTCCCTCAGTCTCAGTCCATGGGGTTTATCTCCCCTGGCTCCCTCTGTCTGCCACGGTTCATCTCCTCTCTCTTTAATTTTCTTTCTGTCTCCACATTTTGCAGACCTCTTTTATCAGACCCCATTCTGTCTTATCTCTCTCTCCGTTTATCTCTGGGAAACTCGTCACCTCGTTTTTCTTTCCAGATGAGATGTCTTCAGAAACGTAAATTGACGCACTGACTCAAACACATCTGACGTTGGACCTACAATAACTTGCAGTAACTACAGAGACACTGAGTCCGTTACAGAGTGATGCTCCTTCTCTCACACATGATCTTTGTTCGAGTCCAGACACACAAACCTGCTGCCGTCAAGTTAATTAGCTACATCTGAAATGAGCTGTAGCTGTTGGAGGCATTTTTCACTGTGGGCAGTGACGGTGCTGTCGGCAACGGCCCAGCGCTGATGAGCACTGGCGAGCATTGGCCTCAGAGTTTAGCCCCTTGGTGCATTTTGCCTCGAGCTCTGAACCCAGAACTACTGAGCTAGTTTTCACTTTTATGTGCAGTGACCTGCTGCTCTATTTTGTTATTATTATTATTATGAGGTGATTTCTTCTCTCCCCTTTCCTCCCTGTTCTTGGCCCCTGTGACCTTTATCTTTGTCTGATGAAGACTCTGCAGATGGAAGTAATAGAAGCTTCAGAGCCTTTCCATGCTTCATTCTGTCTTTCTCTCTCCATCAGCTGCAGAACCAGACGGAGCTTCGGGTGAGCAGTGCAGAGCAAGCAGCGTTCTTCCTGGACGCCGCGCTGTTAGCGAGGAGTAAGAGCCAGATGCCAAGTGGCCAGGAGGCCCAGAAGAATTCGCACTTCCTGTTTACTCTGCACCTGTATCAGGAGAGACTGGACAAGAGCAACAAGGCTAAAAGTGTGTGAGGAGAGACTGGACAAGAGCAACAAGGCCAAAAGTGTGTGTCTGTGTGTGTGTGTGTGTGTGTGTGTGTGTGTGTGTGCGCAAACAGAACCTGATATCAGTTGTCAAAATGCTCACATATGACACAGGTTGCAGAGTAGGCGTCCCACTCATTTTTCCCATAAGACATCACGTGGCGGAGCAGCATGTGGCCTTTGTTTACAGCCACGTCTGTGCTTTGACCCTGGTAGGCTTTACAGTACAAATGCCAAATGAAACCTGACTTTTGGCTCCATTACAGATAAGTGGTGTAGATGAAGTGGAGCCTTGTCTGATTCCCATGGAGACATTAGTGCTCAGCCTGACCCGACACGGTGAAGCCTAAATCAGATTCTAATGCTGAACACGATGTAGCTTATGTGAGCCCAGTGAACAGATCTTCTAAATGCTGACCTCTGTGTTCTTCTGTGAAGAAATGTGACCACAAAGTGAACTTCCACCATCAGACCTGCACAGTTCATAACCATCAGCAGCAGTTCAACAGCAGCTTGATGAAGAGTCGCAGGTTATAGATGTCGATCTCTCAGACAAGAAGGAAATCGGCGATCGTGCAGCTGTGCAGCTGTTAGCGATTAGCTCTCTTTC